TCCAGGCTGGACTATTGCAATGCTCTCTTGGCAGGTCTTCCAGCCACTTCTATCAAACCTCTACAATTAATCCAAAATGCCGCTGCAAGATTAATCTTTAATGAGCCGAAAAGAACGAACGTCACACCTCTGTTCATCAATTTGCACTGGCTACCAGTAGCTACAAAACCACTCTGCACCCATTTACCTAAATTCATTACTTCAGACTTTATGTGCCCTCTAGAAGCTTGCGTTCTGCAAGTGAACGACGCATTATTGTTCATCCCAAAGAGGCACAAAATCACTTTCACAGACTGACTGACAGTAGCGCAGTCTCAGTTGAATGGTCACTCCTGAAGCCTAACTGGTTAGGATCCAGTTGGTTGTTCTATGTAAGAAATAATGATACCTGGTTAAGAACAACTCATTCTAGTGTTTTTGCTATGAAAGTAAGGAGAGAGACAGGTCTGTAGCTATCTGTAAGTTAAGTGTTTAATGTAGGTTTTTTGAGCAGTGGGGTTGCCCGAGCCTGCTTGAATGCAGTGGGGAAAGTGCCTGTGAGAAGTGATGTGTTGATGATGTGTGTGAGTGCTGGTAAGAGTGTAGGAGAGATTGCTTGGAGAAGGTGTGAGGGGATTGGGTCTTGAGGGCGTGTTGTAGGATTGGCTGGAGAGGAGAAGTTTTGATACTTCTGCCTCAGTGAGGGGACAGAAGGAGAAGATGGGAGTTTTAGCAGTGGGTGTGGATGGTTTGAGGTCCTGTGTGTGGGGCTGAGAATTGACAGTGGTGGGAGGTGGTGGAGGGGGACAGAGTAGAGAATTGAATGTTCAGTAGTATTAATAATGTCTAATATAGTAATTTCAGTGATATTAGTAATTTATTTTAATTTATAGTATTTGTAATATCAGTCATAAGGTCTGTAATATTAGTAATTTCAGTAGTATTAATAATGTCTGTAGTATTAGTAATGTCAGTAATATTAGTAATTTCAGTAGTATTAATAATGTCTAATATTAGTAATGTCAGTAATATTAATAATGTCCAATATTAGTAAAGTCTGTAATATTAGTCATTTCAGTAGTATTAATAAGGTCTAATATTAGTAATGTCAGTAATATTAGTAATTTATAATATTTGTAATGTCAGTCATAAGGTCAGTAATATTAGTCATTTCAGTAGTATTAATAATGTCTGTAGTATTAGTAATGTCAGTAATATTAGTAATTTCAGTAGTATTAATAATGTCTGTAGTATTAGTAATGTCAGTAATATTAGTAATTTCAGTAATTTGAGTAATTCAGTAGTATTAGTAATTTCAGTAGTATTAATACTGTCTAATATTTGTAATGTCAGTCATAAGGTCAGTAATATTAGTCATTTCAGTAGTATTAATACTGTCTAATATTAGTAATGTCAGTCATAAGGTCAGTAATCAACACTCCTCAGCGCTGAAAGTGAACACTTGATGGTGATTGGCTGATTTTTTTTACCAACGGAGGCACGAGAGCTCAGCTCTCCTCCGGCCTCCCCCTACCCTTCTCTATCACCTAGCGGTTGTAATTACATCAGCAGATTCGGCACATTCGCGATAGAAAAGCGGCGCTTTCACGTTATGGTATTACAACTGTGAAATTACAAACAAAAAATACACATTCTGAGACATGAACTGAAATGAATTGTGAATTTTATTAACATTAAATCGTCCTCCTCCTATTTTCACCTCAAAATTATGGGGAAGCTGTGCCTCCCCTGACGAGCCGCCACTGGTATTAGTAATGTCAGTAATATTAGTAATTTCAGTAGTATTAATAATGTCTGTAGTATTAGGAACAGGGACGTGCACATACATTTTGAGTGGGCAGGGGCTCACGTGGAAAAAAGGGCACTTCTCATATTTATTTATTTTTTTTTTCTAATCAAAGCGTTAAATATATTAGGGGTGTGCGATATTGACAAAAAATATATCTCAATATTTTCTGGGATTTTATTGATTAATTAGATGATATTTTGCTGAGTGTGTTATTGTTCTGATATCTTAAGGGCTGCCGTGGACAGCTGACTCCTAAAATGTTTGATATTCTTCATATTCTGTGTGGTGATCAGTTCACAGAAAAGTGGAGAAGGGTCTGGCTGCAGCCTGGCGCTTGCACTCTCAGACTTGCATTCTCAGACTTGCACTCTCAGACACTTGCACACACACTGTTTAATGCAGGACATGAATGTATTTAACCTGCAGTTACAAATGCATTCATACTGTTTTGATATTTTAAACATAAAACGTTGAATGCTGAATACTGAAAAACAAAAAAAAAAATGAAAAGATACTTTTAATAGTGAACTTAAAACCACCAGTAGGTGGCAGCAAGTCACCGTTAATGAGTGAGTCTTTGCGGCTGAACCGAATAATTTAAACGGTTGATTCATTCAGGAACGAAACACTGTCATGTTGCTCAGAGAGCAAATTGGAATTATATTTGTTGGTGAAATAGAGCAAAAACAGTCAATATTGTGTCTAAAACGTAAGTATCTTAATATTCAATTCTTGTTTATTGGACTGCTGTATAAAATCAATATCACATTTGTAATCATGCTGCTTTTTGGTGGAAAAAAACAGTCTTCGTGCGATACTTATTAACTATATGAAATTATATAAATATATAAATTTCTGCCCCCATATCTTGAATTTTGTGATCATTCTAAATGCATTTTAATAAACTGAATCATGCAGTTAACTGAATCATGTAGCTCTCATGAGTCATGGATGTTAGCAAGACAAATTAACTATAATTGCCTTTTGTCTTTTGGGTAATTAGCTGTAAATTCGAGGCACAGGTAGCTTTTAGTCTTTTGTTCATCACCACTCACCTCCACACCAAGACAAACACAACTGTAAAGGGAGGGAGGGCTTCACTTCTGCGGCTCTCTGTGTGATGCACATGTGCTGATCAATGTGTGCTACACTGCTGTGCTGCGGAGACGCGGAGGGGCGTCGGAACTCGACAGTCTCAACATTTCCCGACCCGACCCGATATTTTGATTTTTTATTAGTTTGTATATATATATTCATTTATAAAAAAAATAAATAAAAAAAAACTCCCCAGGAAAACAAGGACTCTTTCTCTCGAGGAAGAAAAATGGCAGGTGCTCAAGCCCCCTTTGATGTCTATGTGTGCACGTGCCTGATTAGGAATGTCAGTAATATTAGTAATTTCAGTAGTATTAATAATGTCTGTAGTATTAGGAATGTCAGTGTTAGTAAAGTGTTTTTTGTCGAGGGTCTGGCAGCTGTTTCTGTATGAACGTCATGATGATTTTCACTCATGAGGCTTTTATGAACTAATATTAACATCATAAACTGCAGTATAATGAGCAGCTGCTGAAGGTGTTTTCAGGTGTGAGAGCGACTCTGGTCAGGAATTATGGGCCAGAAAACCCTGAAATGATGCCGTGTGTGTGGTTTATGAGTCTGCTCTTGTCGGGCTGGAGAAACATGTATTTCTGTTAGAGATATTTTTGTCAGTCCTGCTGCAACTACAATTCCAATTTCATGCATGTTAGAGAGAAAGACAGAGGAGAGAGAGAGAGAGAGAGAGAGAGAGTGTTTTTAAAAAGGCAACAGTGATTGGTTAAGGAGAAAGCAGAGAGAGACAGAGCGAGAGAATGAAGTGCAGAAGCACTGCTGTGAGAAACAGAGTCAATCTGCCACCTAGTGAACATCATTTATCAGACACTGACAACAAGTCTGTCCATTTACAAACCTACAGACAGACAGAGAGCACTTCATCTCATCCAGAGGAGCTCCGAGATTGCGTACTGGCCTCTTGTTCAACATGTTTTAGCATTTTATTTTTTCCCAGCAGTCATATTATGTAATGCCAGTCCGGGTTGCCATGAATTTCATTTTCCATGATCATTTCCACCTCTCTGCTGTTATTTAGCACTTTACCTTTAAGAGTTCTCTATGTAAATGATCTCAATTATGATCAGCTGACTTCTTGACTTGTGTAATAGTTTCATTCCCTGCTCTGTGCAAATTGCAGTCAGTATTAATTTTGTGGGTGTGTTTGAGCCTGATTTGCATAATTCCTTTATTGCACTCCTGGGGCGGTGCTTACGTCAGAAGGGGCGGAGTCTGGGATTAGAGAGGATGTCATTAGAGATCAGATTGACAGCGGCTGAGCGAATGTTCACAGATGAAGATGTGATGAACGCTGTGGTGTAGAATAGTGTGTGGGGTGGAGACTGGGGTGGAGTTTAGTGCTGAAGGGGCGGGGCCTGGGATTACGGAGGACTATATCAGAGATTAGAATGACAGAGATTAGAACGAGTGAGTGCTGACAGACAGATGAATGCTCGAGGAGCTCTGTGGTGTAGATGAGTGTCTGGGTGGGGTTTGAGTCATTAGGGGCGGGGTCTGATCAGAGTGAGTGCTGACAGACAGATGAATGCGCGAGGAGCTCTGTGGTGTAGATGAGTGTCTGGGTGGTGTTTGAGTCATTAGGGGCGGGGTCTGATCAGAGTGAGTGTTGACAGACAGATGAATGCGTATGAGCGCTGCTGGAGGCAGATGTGCTGCAGATGAGTCTCTGTTTCTCTCCACTGATTTATTGCAGGTTTGTGTTGCTGAAGCTGCAGATCTGAGTTCACGTTAGTCTGGATCTCAGAGTAAATCAAGAAAATGACAAAGCGCTTCATTAAATGGTGCATGGGTTTGATAAATATGTGGGATTGTGTGTGCATTGATAGACATGTGCAGGAATAATGGACGAGTGTGTCTGCGGCTCATAACAGATGATGTGTGTGTGATATTTCCACACGTGTTTGGCTTTATTGAAGCTCTGCAGCGTCCGCATTAAACACCACAGAGTTTATTATGAGTGTGTGTGTGTTATGAGATCAAGCGGATGTTTATGAGCGACACTCTGATGTGTGTGTATCTGTATTAGCATGAACACAAATCTCCCAGCATCCCTCAGTGTTTCCCGCTCATATCGTTCTGCTCGGTTTTTCTCTCTCAGTTCCTCCAGTCATCTATAAAGTTTCGGACGACATCACTGTGAACGAGGGCAGTAACGTGACGTTGACGTGTTTGGCCAGTGGGAGGCCAGATCCCTCCATCACCTGGAGACTGCTCAACCCGTCAGGTGAGAGACAGCCAATCAGCTGCTGGAAATTCTCCTATTAAACCCTGTGTGCTGCAGATCATGTGTGTTGTTGCAACCACATCACATAAACTACAACACCCCAGCAGGCGCCTGATTGTGAGGGTTCTGTCAGTCTGAAGTGATCGTGGGTTCAGTGTCCGCATGTCCTTCAGACTCACAGAAGAACCTTCAAACGCTCTGACCTGGATTCTGTCAGCATGTTCTTCACTAGAGGTCGGAGACAGAGGCCTTTTAACAGCTGGAACATTAATCAAGTGTTATCAGTGTTTGCTGTAACATTAAACCAGCTCTAAACCAGCACTGAGCGGCTCAATTAGCCTTTTTCACAAAAATCGGAAATTACGTCAGCGCAGGGTAAAGTTAGTTCCATTACAGGTCTGCGCCTATTATATTAGTATGCCCTTTTCTCAAATAATGCTTCTTACCTTTTCTGTTTTGTCTGTTTTCCAAGTTGTTGTTATATAATCTACAAAGAAATAACATTTTACTTGTTAGTAACTTATAAGGCCACTCAGACCGCTGAATCGTGAGATAATGCGCTCAATATAGCATCCCTTTTTATATAGTCTTTGATCTCCGGTACAACTGAGTCTGGTTGAAGCATATTAAACTCAACACAATAACGTAATCTGATACAATAGGAATAAAGTCATGAATCCGAGTCATCTCTTGTTTATTATTTATTTCCCAGGGCACATTATACAACGTACATTTAAACCATCACGTTAATAATGCAAAGGAGAGCAAGTAGAACATACAATATTACATTAATAATAATAATTAGCGAAAAAAAATTAACGTGGCGAGTCATAATTCACAGCCAGCACCAAACGGACAGAACGGCAAAACTAACTGAATTATAATTGACACCATTTAGATTTAAACAAACTTGTATTTGTGATGACCCGAGCTGACCAAACAGTTAATTGTGAAATGTTTGCGCTTTGTAGAGTAAAGTACCGGCAGTTCAAGCATTTTCACAATCTCTAATTTGTATAAAAAGACTTTGATTCTCGAACTCATTCTTGTTAAGTACGGCCGCAATTGTCACCGGAAAAACTTTTACCCTGCAAGCGCCAATCCGGAAGCCAGAAACACGGAAGTGTGAAAAAGGCTAATTGGAGGAGACGTCATGCGTCATGTGACTGTGAACGAGTCGCTTCAGTTGTGTTGAAAACACGTCCAGCTCATGTTAATTCTCTCGGTTAGTCAGAGACTTCAGATTCGTGTTCAGTTTAATCAAACCAGAGAAAAGACATCGGCAGAAGTTCCTCCACCTCAGCAGCACCATCTAGACACTTTACAGCTCAAATCACTCATATATACACTGACGAGTTCATGTTAGAGATGAACACAAACACAAGCTGCTCATGTCTGCTGTTCACTGACACACACACACACTCAACCCAGACACTCTCTCTCTCTCTCTCTCTCTCTCTCACACACACACACAGTTTCTCTGGCTATCTTAGTGAGGGCATTGCATAGACTTCCACTGATTTTCTATCTACTTACCCATTATCTGCAGAACACTAGATTTACATCACAACATCTTCAGCAGATTTATAAGCCTTTTTCACTAGTGAGGAGCAGGAAAATGTCTCTCTAGTGTGTTCGTAAAGTGTTTCACAATATAAGTGCGGAAATTTGATCCACACAAGTGTAGTCAAAATAAGTACACAAACACTCACTCACACACACACACTCACACACACACACACACACACACACACACACACACACACACACACACACACACACACAGCGCATGTGTTACTGTACGTGTGATTATTGTGTTTTTACACATAGGTTGTTTGTAAGATTTCCTTTGTGTCAGACGTCAGATCTCATCTCTTCTATGTTCATCCTGCTCATTAACTGATCATTATCTGCTCATTAACGCTGCGCAAGGAAGAACGAGTATTAAAGGATGCATTTAAGCAATCAGATCACAGGTGTGTGTGTGTGTGTGTGTGTGTGTGTACATTATGTGTATTGTGTGTGTGTGTGTGTGTGTGATCTTTCGGTTCTGCTGAACTTTGCCAATTTCGTGGTTTTACATAAATTAGTATTCACTTAATAAATGCATTGTGCCTCACTGTGGTAAATGATGCTCATGAATAAAACATGAATATGCAAATGCCCCCCTCCACTCACTTGTGTTCTGAATCGCTTTTCAACTGATGAAAAGCTGACCAGATCTGTGTGTGTGTGTGTGTGTGTGTGTGTGTGAGATATTGATTTAATTAATGGTGAACATGATCAGATCACTGAAGCTCCTGGCGTTCTGATGTTCTGAATCTGTTGCTCATGTTCTGTATCATCAGCTCAATCTCAGCAGCTGTTATGTTTTATTAGTGTGATTCTGTTTGATCAGATCTGGTTTGTTGATGTTGCTGGAATATTATGATATTTTATTATATATGATGTTAGTGTTGAGGTTACTGATGTGATGCATGTGTTTGAACAGCATTACATGCGCCCTCTGCTGGACGACGATGATGATGATGATGTGTGTGTTTGTGTGTGTGTTTCTCAGCCGAGGCTCTGGATGTGGGCGAGTATCTGGAGATCTCTGGGATCATTCGATCTCAGGCCGGACGTTACGAGTGTAAAGCGAGCAATGACGTCTCCACTCCTGATGTAAAATATGTCAGCGTGGTGGTTAACTGTGAGTAGATGTTTGAGATCAGACCGAGTTTCTCATCCTGTGTGTGTTAGATCAGACTGTGTGTGAGAGATCAGACTGTGTGTGTGAGATCAGACTGTGTGTGAGATCAGACTGTGTGTGTGAGATCAGACTGTGTTAGATCAGACTGACATGTGTGAGATCAGACTGTGTGAGATCAGACTGACTGTGTGTTAGATCAGACTGACATGTGTGAGATCAGACTGTGTGTGAGATCAGACTGTGTGTGTGAGATCAGACTGTGTTAGATCAGACTGACATGTGTGAGATCAGACTGTGTGAGATCAGACTGTGTGAGATTAGACTGTGTGTTAGATCAGACTGTGTGTGAGATCAGACTGACGTGTGTTAGATCAGACTGTGTGTTAGATCAGACTGTGAGAGATCAGACTGTGTGTGAGATCAGACTGACGTGTGTTAGATCAGACTGTGTGTGTGAGATCAGACTGTGTGAGATCAGACTGTGTGTGTGAGATCAGACTGTGTGTGAGATCAGACTGACGTGTGTTAGATCAGACTGTGTTAGATCAGACTGTGTGAGATCTGACTGTTAGATCAGACTGACATGTGTGAGTTCAGACTGTGTGTGAGAGATCAGACTGTGTGTGAGATCAGACTGTGTGAGAGATCAGACTGACATGTGTTAGCTCAGACTGTGTGTGTGAGATCAGACTGTGTGTGAGATCAGACTGTGTGTGTTAGATCAGACTGACATGTGTGAGATCAGACTGTGTGAGAGATCAGACTGTGTGAGATCAGACTGTGTGTGAGATCAGACTGTGTGAGAGATCAGACTGACATGTGTTAGCTCAGACTGTGTGTGTGAGATCAGACTGTGTGTGAGGTCAGACTGT